TTAGTGAGTGGTCAAATCTATATACTTATATTAAAGGTGATCATATTTACTAAATATAGTAGTTAGAAAAGTCGAACTTAATTAATAAATTTTTAATTTTATCAAGTATTTAATTAATGCATCTAATATTTTGGGTATGCAAATCAAATTAGCATTTAATTAGTTCCTAAAATATTGGGTATGCAATATTAATTTAGGAATATCCATGTAGTTCCTAAAATGTTGGTATGCAACGCGTAAAAGAAGTTTTTTAAATTTTTTTAAATATAAAATATTGCAACACGTAAAACTATTTCCGTTATTTTTTTATTTTATTTTACATATAAAATCTAATATATTTAATGCATCCTGCAAAATTGAATTTAGTTTAATTCTCCATACAATTGGTTGTAACTTTTTCAGTTGTACTTTTTTTATTTATTTATTTTACACTTTTAAATTAATGAAGCTCTCCGAAAATACCAAATCAAATTGTTTATGAAAGTTTTTTTTTACAATTTTAAATATATATACCCAGCTCAAAAAACTCATTGCATAAATATAGACGAGTTTAAGAAAATTTCATAACACAGCTTACAGAATTCCACAAAAAAATCACATCTCTCATCTATCGCTTTAAAGATAAATAAATAAAAGTCTAATTACTACTATAAATCCATTATCTATTTAGATTTTTTTAAAAATCTAAATTTCACCTGTCTAATTACTAATATTTTATATGCTTTTAAATATTATTTGTATAAATTTTTTCACACATTTGCTCTCTCTCTATATATATATATACATATTTGGGGGTTAAATGAAGAATTTTTAGACATGTTTTTCTTACGGGTAGTTTAGAAAAATTTAGGTAGCTTCAAACATTATTTGTGAATAATATAGAATATTTTAGATGCTTTTTATAGATGTTATAAAATACTTTAAGTATTTTTAATATTTATATATCACACTTAGAAAGAATATTTTGCCAAAAAAAAAATTAAATACACATTGTAAATGTTAATAGAAACAGTCTTTAGTGTTCGTCTTTGATCTCAATTACATATAAAATTTCTTTTATTTGTCACATAATTTTTGGTGTTCATTAATCTCAATTTGTATTTGTAAAATTGATAGCTTTTGCATTAATTTCAATTTGTATTTGTAAAATTGATAAATTATTAAGCGTACAAATTCTTTTTTATGGTAACAACTTAAAAAAATGATAGTAATTTTTGAAATATTGTGTAGTCAAATCTTCATATGGAAGTAACCTCATAATTATGGTATCTTATAAATCTTTTTTTTTTTTTATCTTATAAATCTTTTTTTTTTTAAAAAAAAAGGGGGATCAATACTGGTTCCCCAATTCCCCCCAGGGTGACTCGAACTCGGGACATGGTACACGCCGAGTGAAGGTAAACGCCACTGCGCCAACCCCTCTTCGTCGGTATCTTATAAATCTTCTCTAAAACAACTTTAGCGTGAGATAATGTCTTTATTTAGGCTTATAATATTTTAGATATTTAAACAAAATGTTCAGACATATTTTTTTACATATTCTATCTATATATATATATATACTCACATATACGTAACACATGTTAAGTTTAATTATTTTTAGACATGTTTTCTTTATAAAATAGTTTAAAAAATATTACATGCACATCTATACTTATATAAAAGGCATTCTATTTACTAGAATTAGTAGTAAGAAAAGTCAAAGATAATTAATGCATTTTATTTCTATCAAGTATTTTATTTAATTATTTTAGTTAATTGTTTTATCTCATAACACCTTTTCAATACAACTTATCATGATTTTTCTATTGTGATTAAAAACCAAATTTTACGTTTAAAATATTGTGAAATTATTATTATTATTTTTATAAAGCACATATTATTTGTTAAAAAATTGTATATATATATAATATACATCACAGTACCATGATAGATGATTTAAATTTTAACCGACCAAAATGCCAATGATTTAAATTTGAACACACCTATGCGTTTGACCAAATATCTGGATGATTTAAAATTGAGTCCATAAAAATTATTTAAATTTGAACACATCAGAAATTTTATGTAGTTTTTATTTATAAATATATTGAAAGTGGTATTTAATGGATGTTATATAAACTATTT